AAGGCTGGTGCTTTAATCCTCTGCTAAGAGGCTCCCAGCTTGGACCAGAAGCTCCCTAAGGGCAGGGATGAGGGGTCTCCTGACAGGAGGGTGCCAGTCAGGGCCTGCATCTGGGGCTTCTCACCAGCCTGTGTGATTCACCCTCTGTGTCCCTGCAGACACAGGCCACTGGAGGGCCCGCCACATCCCCAGTGGACAAGGTGGCCTCGATGGGACAGCAGCCTCAGTGGCCGCTTAATCTAGCAGCTCCACCTCACTTAAGCAGTGGTGAGAGAAGACTACCATATTTTATTTTGGGGTGGGAAAGGTGACATCACAGACGAATGGGTGGTCTCTTTGCTAAGACCCTGGTCTGACTTGCCTGAAGCCCTGGGTTTAGTAATATTAGCTCACACTCAGCTAACGCTGTGCCAGCACTGTTCTGGGCGCTTGCTCATTTAATCCCCACAACAAACCCACTTTACAGATGTGGAGACTGAGGCTCAGAGAAGTTAAAAACTGAGATTGAACCCCCAGGGGATTTGAACCTGTACATTCTGGCTCTGGGGTTCTCTCTCTGTACTGCACTTAACCACTATGCAGCAGTTAATAATAATAAAATTAAATGATAAATATTAAAGTCAAATATTACTTAAATGATATTAATTTTAATACTTAAATAATTAAAATATTATTGAAGTCACCATTTGATAATAATAAAGTATTGCCAAGTCCTTTTTAAGTGCCAGGTATCGTGGTGCTTTGAAATACATCACCCTGTTTAATGTGCACACTCTTCTGGGGGAAGGTACACATTTTCTGGGTGCAGAAACTGAGGCACAGAGAAGTCAGCCAGCACCTGGGGATTCAGGCTCAGGCTTCTCTGCTTCCGGCTCCAGCTCCTTGTTTTGGGTTTTCCAGGTGGAAGGCAGGCTCTGCGATGTGGCCTTCTGCACGTTCTCCTCCTCGGGGCTCAGTCCCTGCCTGTCACGACAGCCTCCTGGGAGCTATCCCCCCACTTTTCTGACGCTTGCCGAGTACCTTCCCCTGGTCGTCCTGACTTGCCCACTACTTCACCCCAACATTGCCACCCCCACGTCCCATGTTCCACCCACCCCAGGAAGCCAGCACCTTCTTCAGCTGCCCTTCCTGTCACCCCACCCCCATTCTCCTGGTCAAGGCTGGAAAACCTGGGCTCATCTCTGTCATTTCTACTTAATCACAATAGTTGCCAAGTCAGAGAAAAGTAATTTCCTTCAGGCCACCGTAGTGGTGACTGAGTGGGGGGATCCTGGAGTGGCCCAATGAGATCCCGGATCCCTGGGGCTTTTCGTCCAAGTCCACAAAATCATGTGATAAGCACAAGTCCTCATGCACTGGGGTTCTGTTCTCTGGGGGCATGTTAGCACTGAGCCTCTCTCTCCAGGCTTTACGGGCTTTGGGAGTTCTACCCTGTTATGGACTGAATGTGTGTCCCCCTGAAAGCCTTATGTTGTAGCCCTAAGCCCCGTGATGGTGTGTGCAGATGGGCCTTTGGGAGGTGATTAGGTTTAACTGAGGTCAGGAGTGGATTAGTGTCCTCACAGGAAGCGGAAGAGAACCCGGAGCTCTCTTTTTTGCCATGTGAGGACATAGTGAGAAGGTGGCCTTTTGCAAGCCGAGAACCAAATCTGCTCTCACTAGGAAGCGAGTCCGCAGGGATCTTGACCTCAGACTTGCAGCCTCCACAGCTGTGAGAAGTGAATGTCTGGTGCTGAAGCTGCCCAGTCTGTGGTGTCCTGTTATTGCAGCCCGAGCCGCTAAGACACACTCTCAGGGCCTTGGAGGAGGGGGTGACCCCAGCACGGCACTGGGGACCAGCAGCAGGACACTGGTCGGGAGCTGGCCTGGGTGCTTCCAAGGCCTTGCTGGGTGAGCATCGGGCTCTGTGGGCTGGGGCCGGGGAGGACTGAGGGGCTGAAGGAAGGAGGCAGGGGACAGCAGGGCTTCCTCTGTCAGGTCAGCAGAAGCTGGAGCCACATTTTGTGGTCACAACATGACACAGCCATCCAGTGTCCATGAGAGGTCCAGTCCCTCCCCAAGAGAATCTGCCGGTTTCATGGTTGTTCGCCCCAAGTGCCCGACTTAAATCTTGCTTGGATTTGGAAAACACATGCCATTTTGTTTCATCTTCCAGTCCCAACTATGTTAGAAATTTGGCTTCACAATAGCCAGGCAAAAATTTAACTTCCATCTGGTCCCAAGGTAACTGGCTTTTGCAACCCTCTCGCCAGACATCATATTAAGCAAGTAGGGTTTTGGCACAGACTGGATTTTGATGTACATTCATAGACTTTGTGTCATATTTATTTTGTTGGCCAAAAAGACTCAGAATTTCCTATTTTGAAATCTAGCTGTGGTTTCATTCCACTGCTGTAGATTAAGACATTTTAATTATTCTTATCCATCCACCCAATACCATGGGATGAAAGTTTTCAAAGCAGAAACAAAGGGAATGCAGACCCATCAGGACCTAGTTCCTTTCCCGAGAGGCAACCACTCTTCCCCATTAATTTAATGGGAATATTCAAGAGACATCCATGCATGTTCAGTCACCATGCAAACACTATCCTCTTCCTTTTTACCTGCATGTTAGCATATTATACATACTTGATTTATTAAGCAAATACCTCAGATATTGTTTCCCTCATTCTTTTTAATGGTCTGCATGACCCATAATGGCCCTAATCAGCCTCCTAGTCACGACATTTAGGTTGTTTCCAGTCTTTTTGAGTCTTGCTAATCTGGTAAGTGAAATACGGTATCCAACAGGATTTAAAATGTGCCATTCTTTTTTTAAATTGAAGTATAGTTGATATACAATCTTACATTGGTTTCAAGTAGACAACACAGTAGCTCAACAGTTACCCACATTATTACATCCTCACCCCAACTAGTGCAGTTACTATCTGTCAACATAGGAAAACGTTATATTCTCCATGCTGCACTACCATCCCCATGACCAACTCATATGATTGAAAATTTTGTGCCCCTTTTTTTTTTTGGTGTGTCATTCTTTTCTTTTTCTCCCTGAGCGTCTCTTTATATTTAAGTAAAGTCATTTGTATGTAGTTTTCTGTGCCCTTGCTGGGGAAGTCTTTGCTCAACTGTTTGGGTCTTCATACTAAGGAAACACCCTTAAGACCATATGTCCTTAATACTGACAACTTGCTGCTCAAGGTATGCATTTATGAGGGCTTCCAGGAGGGTTGGCAGAGTCCCCTCTGAGTTAGAGGATGGTGCTCCGAGAAGCAGGGAAGGATTTACCCCCTGGCAGGGTAGTAAAGTCAGCAGCCTGTGTTCCTGGATAGAAAATGATTTCTGTTAGCCTGGGCATCTCTCAAATGCCCAAACATACCATGAACAAATGTAGTGGCCAATTTTATGCTGTTTTAGTTTTTTTTTTTTTTTTTGGGTCGACCATATGCCAGGCAGTATGATAGGCATGTTAAATGCATCATTTCCTTTGATCGACACAACATTGTGCCACACGAGTAGTGTGGCTCCTGTTTTACAAATGAGGAAGCCAAGGCACAGGGAGGTCAAGTCGGTAGTCCAGAGTCACACAGCAGTGGTCAGGACTTGATCCCAGACTATGAATTGCATGCTGTACAGCCTCCACACTCGTAGTAGGCAAGAGCTTCTCAAGCTGTTATGTGTAAGAGTGGCTTTGACCCTGAAATATGGGCATTTTGAAAAACCCAGACAAGAACATCCTGACTTCTCTGCGGCGTGGTCACTCTTGCCAGTGACGATCTTCAGAGGGCAGTTTCACCTTGCTCAGTGACCTCAAGAACTAGCACATCAGACTTAGTGAGAAGCCCCTTTGCTCAGGGCTCCAGTTTGCCTGCAACCCCCTAGACCTGTGTTTGGCAGGAGAGGCTGGGGAGTGTGGCTGTCCTATAACAGTCAAAGAAATCCCATTGAGGAGGATTGTTTTTCCCCTGCAGTCCCTCTGGTGCCCTGGTGTCCTTCCAAAGCAGCATGTGAAGTTGGAGCTTCTCTGAGCAGCTGGCTGGGGAGGGAGATCCTGGCTCCCCCTGGGTGGAGTCCGCCTCCCAGCTGCTCTCAGAGGGGAGGCAGGAGACCCTCTGCGCCTGCCTCTGCTTTGGCCCCCTCCTGAGAGATGCTCCGAGCCCACCCAAGCTGCTGCATGGCTCAAGGCTACACCAGCTTGGGGCATGTCCCAGGACTGAGGGGCTGTTTCCCCCAGGGGCTCCTGGCATGCAGGGGCAACCTGCGAGCCTGGGGACAGGGGACCTCAGGGTGTGCCTCTAGCTCAGAGCTGTCTGTTTGTGGCATCACTTCTCTCCCTTTCGGATGTGCGACTTACCCCCCTGGCTCTCTTCATGCTGGTATCAGCCACAGGGAGACGACCAGAAGCTTCCATCTTACGCTTTCTTGCTGATGCCCGGCTGAGCACCCATGCCGCCCGGGCCCACCCCTGAGCTGAGGTAGGAAAGCGGCCTCAGGAGTCTGTTGCCCACTGATGTCGAGCAGCACCCCATTCCTGCCCAATACATTCTCTATGTATCCTAACTAAGCACAATTGCTGCAATAAATCACTGCTGACGGCTCAGTTCCAGTAAAGCAGGCAGGAGTGGGCGGTCAGCAGGCTGTCACATCCAGGCTGGTCAAGACTCTCTGCTCGCAAAGTCTCCGTGTGTGTGTGTGTGTGTGGGTGTGCGCGCGCACGCACGCACGCACGCACATGTGTGTGGAGAGAGAGAGAAAGGGAAGGGTGGAGAGTAATGAACTTCCAAAAATATTGCACCTCTTTCTACCAAATATGCACCTTTAGGAGGAATTTCCTAGAGAATGAGGCCAGGGCTGTTTTCCATCAAGGCAGTGAATAGCTAAGAGTAAACAGGTTGTCAAGCTCAGTCATGTGGCTGCAGGTAGGCCTTTGACAAACCGCGGGATCAGAGTCCAGGTTGAGCTGGACCTGGAGGCCCCCAGGTCGCCACCTGGCTCCTGGTGAACTAGGGCTGTGGATGGTGCGCCACCTTCCTGGTTTGTTCCAACCTTCTTCTCATGCCTGTGCTGGGTAGAGGGGACCAGGGGGAGGCCGGAAGTGAGGGCAGAAGGCCAGGTAAGTAGGTCTCGCGTGGATGGGGGAGAACTTGCCCAGGCAGCAGAGAGCTGGCAAGTCCGCACACTCAGGCGGCTGGGGTCAGAGCTGATCGTTAGAAAGACCATGTCATTACTTTTCCCCTGGCATTAGAGTTACTGGGTGTGTACCTCATTAGCTCCGGTGTAGCCCTGAACTTTCACAGGCCTGACCCTGACCTTCAGCTGCGGCCATCCATGTGCAGGGTACCTATGAAGGTGACAGTGGCATTGGGGAATAATCCCAGGCTGAAACTGACTGCCTTTCCTTGAATGAACCCAGTGGGCTTTCCTGGGCTTTCCTCTCCCTGAATGCCCTTTCGCCCTTGCCCTCTGGGCAAGGCTCCTTTAACATCCGGCTCCCATCACCTCCTCTGGGCAGCCTCCCCGGTCTTCCCTCAGAAACTGCTCCGTCTCCACTCGGGCATTTCCATGCTGTGTGGCCAAGGTTTGTTTCTGTGCCCCCTCATCACTGATCTGCGGGTCCCTCAAGAATAATGACTCTGTCTTCCCTTTCATTCATTAAAAAATGTTCATTGGGCAACAACTGTCTGCCGGACACTGTGTCCTGCAGCGGTGAGCATAACTGCAGCCCCATAGCTGATGGCTGGACTGATGGGGCGGAACTGACACAGGAGGGAGTGAAGCTGAAGGAACAATTTTGCATCATGTCGGTTTCCAGATCTGTGTTGATTGGAGGCATGGTCAGGGGCTGTTTGTACTGTGGGAATTCAGTTAGCCACTTAAAATTCTCCAAGCTGTTTTCCCATCTATGAAGTAAGAATAAGAATCAGTTATCGACGTAAATCTGTTAAAGGAAAATTCACTAAATTCTACTTGGTCTGCGTTTAATTCCTTCCCGGACATTTGATTGATCATTTCTCAGGTTGTGCTCACGCCCCGGGGACAGCCTGGCGGCCCGTTCCCCCTCCAGGTTTCTGCGTGGGTAGAATGTGGACAAGCGGAACCGCAGATCACCTGATGCCCGTTTTAGCTGACCGTTCCAGTCCCCCCCCACGGATGCCTTTGCTCTTATCCCTGGCTTAGTAGGTTAAAGTTCAGTTCCTCCTCTGCAGCCCCAATCATTCTCTGCTCAGCACCAAAGAATTAAAGGGACAAAGAGGAAGAAAGGAAAGCCAGAGGCTTGACTAGCTGAGAGCAAGAGAGACAGAACGTCTTAGCATCCTCAGCAAGGCTTCTATTCTCTAGGCCACATCTCATTAGCTGCCCCCGGGACTTAATTCCCTGAACCGGTTTCTGCACTGGGGACCCAGGGAAGTAGCTTTTAGTCAGGTTGGCAGAGGGGCTGGCTGCTGAGGGAAGGCCGAGCTTCCTTCTGAAAGAAAAGCAGGTGTTCCCAGGGGAATTCTGCCAGTCAGGAATGATAAATGCCTCCTTGGCAGAAAGCCTGCTGCAAAAGGGAGTGGTTGTTTTAGCAAAAGGGAATTAATAGATATTTCTTTGAACCCATCCCATGGGTCAGAGGAACAAGCTTCCATTCAAGATCATATTGACTCTGATAGTTGGCATTTGCGTATTCGGGCTGGCCCGGAACCGTGAGGCTGCTGGGCGCTGAGGCAGCCCCAGCATGTTTCCAATGGGCCCCACTTGCCCCTAGGTGGACAGACAGCAGCAAAAGAGATCCATCGATGCCTCTTCCTGGAAGATGCAATTCTAAATGTTTCAGCAACTTGAAGCAGAAAGAGGTGCCTTCGGCTGATTTATGCTTTGACTGCCTTAAAGGTGTGCACAGAGATGCTAATGGGCTGCTTTACAGCAGGATGAGGCATTGTTACCTGCCAGTAAGCAGGACTATGCAAAGTTGGGATGAGGGTGGGGTGGGCAGGCCAGGTTCGCCCCCTGAGGGCATAAGCAGTGAGGTCGTAGGAAATGGCAGCGTAGGTGCCACAGGAAGGCTCACTCCAGCAGCAAGAGGGCATCTCAGCATGGAGGGCAAGGGTTTCTTTCAGACCATGGAGCCCCTTAGCTGACCCCTGCAGATCAGGTGTGGAGGTACCAGTTGGAGGCCAGGTGGGCAGTGCCCGGCAGCAGGTGAGTGGGTGCTGGCTTTGCCCCTTCATCCCTCTCACCCCTACTCCCCACCAAATCTTTCACCCTTTAAATCACAGTTTGAGCACATGACTCCATCACTCAGAGCCTCCCCAAGGCTCCCCCATCCTGAAGCCTGGGTTTCGTAGGATCTGGCCGCACTGTTCCTCCAACTAGTGTCCCTGCAGGAGGGCCACCTCCTCCTGGAGCTGAGATGACTCAGAAACTCTGCTCTACACCACGATTCCACCCTTAGCTCCTGTCCTGCCTGTGGGTTTGTCCACAGCATCCTCTCTGCCTGGAAACTCGCCCACCCCTCAGCCTGTCCAAACTTTGAGCCCCCAAGTCAAAGCCTTATCCAAATTCCACTGCACCCTTATCCCAAATGGAGCCGTGCCATCCCCTCCTCTCCTCTCTGACCCTGGCATGTCCCGCCTTGGCTAATTATCCCGGGCTGCCTTACACGACAGTATTTCGGATCCCTCTGTCCCATTTAATATGATTCCCCAAGGAGCAGTGGCTGTATGTGAAGCCCCAGGTTCTCGGTCTGACTTGAACCCTAGAGGGCTTTCCTGGGGTCCCATGCCCAGAGATTCTGGTATCACTCACCTGGGTGAAGCCAAGACAGAGAGTTTTTTAAGAGCGTGCATTTTAACATGCAGCAATGTTAAGAAGATCTTTATATCCTCAGTGGTATCCCGCACTTCCAGTATTTACTGACTGATCATAACCATTGGAACTTAGAGGTGGAGGTGCTGAATAAGGCTGTAGACCAGCCCTGAATAATGGAAATAGAATGTGAGCTACAAATAGGAGCCACCTATGAAATTTCCAATTCTCCAATCACCATGTTTCAGAAAGTAAAAAGAAATAATGAAGTTAATGCTTCTTTTATTTAATCCATGAATGCAAATATTACCTTTTCAATATGCAATCAATACAGAAGTTATTAACGTGATATTGTACTTCTTGCATACCATTCAAGATTCAGTGTGTATTTTACACTTACGGTACATCTCAGTTTGGATGAGCCACACGGCAAGTGCTCACGAGCTGCTTGTGGCCAATGGCTGCCGTGCCGGGTAGGGTGGCGACAGCCCACAGAGCCCTGCAGTCATTATGTTGCTGGCTGAGCTGCCCTGGAGAGCACAGGCAGGCTGTGCTGGCAGCTGGAAAGGGGGCTTCTGCAGCTGGCATGAGAGATCTAACGCTCTTCGCCCCAAACAGCCCTCTCTCCCTTTCTAGTTAAATCACAGCATCTTCTTATCTTGCCCCACTCTCCTCCCTCCCCCCCATCTCATCTGGGACCCACATCCAAAACAAATCTCCTCCCATCCCCAGCCTCCTGCGGGCCAGCTTTCCAGTGCCCAGCTGTGGACCTGCTGCCATTTTCTGTCCTGCTTGCTCTTGGGAAGGTGGGCTGCCAGTCCCTGAGGGACATGGGCAGCTGGGGGCACTTGGCTGGGAGGCCCGGGAGGGGGCAGGACAGAGTTTGGAGTGTGTCCTCTCACCCGTTCTCCTTTGCTTTCTCTTGTTCTCTTTCTGGGTGGGATGCTGAGCCCCTGACCAGCCCTACCCCCAGGCCCAGGGCCCACCCCAGCTCTTAAGCTCCCGAAGCTGAGCAGGTCTCCAGGTGAGAGTCACTTGGCTATCTGCCAGCCTTCCAGGGGCAACCCCTTATGGGGACATTTTGATGTCAAATGTGCAGAGCTAGTAAAAACAGGACTATTATTAGGCCTTCCCCTGCATCCCGGTTACCAGCCACATGGCTCAGCCCTTTGATGTCACAGTGGGAGCTTCAGCCCAGCTCTCCAAAACAACTAATATGGTATTTCTGAAAATGTTTCCCACTGGCACATATCGTTGGACTCTCGATTATCTTTTATTTCCAAAGGCAATTAATCTTCTTTTTCTTTAATGTGGCCAGTTCCCAGTTTTTGTTCCTGTTTCGAATCTGAATTGTTAGGAGGCATGTGGAAAATTGGCTTTTAAGCTCTAAGTTTTTGCTGAAAGCTGAGACAGCAGGCATAGCTAATGAGAAATATATGTATTTTAAAGTGCTGTAATTCTTAGGCATGTAGCAAGAGGTTTCACAGGGAAAGCTGTAGATTAATTGTAGATGACCCAATTTCATGGCGTTATAGAGTGCTTCAGCCTGACTGGGTCTGCAGCTCATCGTCAACGATGTACTGAGCAGCACCCGTGCCCGGAGCACCTGCGCTCACCTGGGGAGGTGCCACAGGGACACACAATGAAGCTCCTGCTTAGCTGAGGAAGTAAGACACAGTGTGCAGGTAGAGAGAATAAAGGTGACAAGGTCATATATGCTAAATAGAAATTCAGAAAGGCAACCCTTCAGACTGAATGTGGGTGGCCAGAGCTGGAGGAGCAATCAGTGAATGCTTCCCAGGGAAGGTGGCTGCTTGGGCTGAACTAGAAGGATAGGCTGGTCATAGACACAGCGGCCAGCGAGGCCAGCCAGGTACTCCCCGCAGGAGGCAACGTGCACACCTGGAGGGGAGCGTCAGGCTTTATGATGCTTGTAGGTAGGACGCTGCTCCAGTTCATGGCAAAAGTGTTGATTCCAAATAGTCAAGAGCATTAGGCTCTCTTTCCAGCTCTGCTGCTGACATCCTCTGGTGGCTTTGGCCAGTCATGTACCCACCTCAGGACCCCTCCTGGAACTGACAGTACTTGTCACTGCCCTTCCCTTGAGCTGCTGTTCAGAGAAGAACAGATTGACCATTCACGCATCATCCACCCTCAAAACATCCATCATCCTGTGCATCTATCTCTCCATAAATACACCCATCCAATCATACACATATTCATCCATCCATCTGTCCACCCCTCTACCCATCCACCTATCTACCTATATCCACAATCAATCCATTCATCCATCCACCTGCCCATCTGCCGTCCAAACAGCCATCCAGCCATCTCATCATCCATCTGTCTGTAAACTGATCCAATCATCCATCTACCCATCTACCCACCCATCCACCCATTCACCCATTTATCTGTCCATCCCTCCAGTAAATCAGCTGTACGATTGTTTCATTCAGCCCTCATTTTCGGAGGTCCTACTCTGTTTCATACACTGTCCCAAGTGCTAGGAAGTGAAGAGCAAAAAGCGTGATTCCTGCCCTCAAGGCAAGACAAAGAGGGCAACGATGAGTATAGAAATGACAAAGTTGCCACCACAGGACAGGGTAAGTACAGGACTGCTGGGTTAGAGCACGAGAAGGGCCCCGAGTGGGTGGTAACCGTGCGGGTTCAAGCCCGCCTGAGCACTGACCTCATGGGATCGTGCCTATGATTCTTCTCCATTAGGCTCAAAGCACTTGAACATAGAGACCATATTTACAGAACCTGGGCTTAGTCAAGAGGGATCCCTATTCTGGGGCCCCCATTTAAGGGCCGTGCTCTGGCCCTCCTTCAACTCACCCCTTTCTACAGGGTGAGGGCTCTGTAGGGCCATGGGGACATGCTCACCCGAGTCCGTGCCTCCTGCCCTTTTTAGGTCATGCCACCAATAACCAGGGCCCAGAATTCTTGGCCTGGGATGGAGTCGGGACGGGAAGAGACGGAGCCTGCTCTTCCCAAGTCGTCGACTCTAACACCAAGCGCCAGGGAGTCTGAGATTTCTGTGCTGGAACACGGACCACCTGGTTGTTATGAAGGTATGTTTGTCAGGGTAGGAGGACAGAACATACTTTAATGAACAGTTTTTACAAAAATAACCTTGAAATATTTAGAGCCACAGCACACGGGTCTCCTCTAGTACACTCGCCCGGGTTTGGGACAGGACTCTGTGCCGTTTGTGGTTGAGCCAGAAGGTCCCAAGCACACATGACAGCTAAATGTAGTATAAGATTCTGGACTTGAGGAAAAAGTGCTTTAAGAGACATAATGGAACAATGGACAAAACTAGAACATGGAGGTAAAATACCATGGGTTAAAGCATTGTATCAGTGTCAAATTCCCGGATTTGAGAGCTGTGCAGAGGGGACCTAAAACAACGTCCTGTTCTCCATGGGCACTAACAGAAGTGTGAGGGCCAAGGGGCTGTGACCACCGTGACCCTTCCCGATGGCACAGAGACAACAAGTGGCAGAGGAAGTGTGGCCAACTGATGTGGAGGCAGACGCAGGGTATCTGGAGGCCCTCTGTATCACTCCTGCAGCTTTTTTTCTTGACTGTGCTTTGGGCAGAGTGAACATTTAGTGAGTGTTTGCTGGGGTGACGTCTCCGCTGGCCCTCAAGGACGGCTCTAGCTTCCACAGTCGGTGACAGGGAGAGTAAAGAGGGTTAATGACAATGGCCAACAAATGCAGAGCGTGGAAGTCAGGCCTGCCCCGTCCTAAGGGCTTTGCTGCATCAGCTCACGCCTCACCACAGCCCTAGGCCGTGGGTGCTATTCCTCTCCCCGCTGTGCAGGTGCAACACTGTATCCCAGGGCCAGGCCCTGCAGAGGTTAGCAGCAGAGGCAGGGTCTGAACCCAGGCGTTGGGCTCAGAGCTGGACTCCCGGCCCTTACGCTTTGCTGCCTCTGGTAACGTGAGCCGAGACTTGGAGGGTGCCCAGTATGGAAGGTGATGGTTCTGTATGTTTTACACTGATCAGCTGCATTAGTCTTCCTAAAAATCCCCATGAAGTCATTGTTATTCCCATTTTACTGATGGGGAAGCTACCAGAGGGAAGGAACCCAGACATCTGGAGTCCAGAGTGTGTCCTCCTGAGCCCTGGCCTCAGCTGGGAGAACGTTTCCAGTGGACTCATTCAAGTCAAGGCCAGAAAGGGGAGGGCAGGTGGTGTGTTCCCAGGATGCTGGTCATTGGGCCTGCCTGGACTGGAGGGTATCCATGGGTGACAGGGCGCACGGGGAGAACACGGGCTGGGTGGGGAACAGTGGCAGGATCTCCAGCGGGCAGGCCACAGCCACGCTGTGGTTACCAAGGTGTTGGTCTGGCTGGGGGGCTTCCCAGTGACTTTCTCCCAGGGCCTGTGTCAGCCACATCCTGTGTAGCGTCTTGAGTGGGACGTCCATGGCATGTGTACATCCAAGGTGGGGTGAGGCGCGGCCGGGAGCACAGGAGGAAAACCACAGGACCGTGTCAGGATCCAGGAAGGGCCAGCCGTGCAGGAGCGAGGAAGCCCAGTCCATCAAGGCAACATTTAATCCACCTCCAAGGCAGCGGACAAGATCTGCCAACTAATGAACAGAGGGAGTGAGCGTGCGAGCACTTCGCACCAACTCTGAGGCTCAAGGCCAGGTGGGTGTGGCACCACGAACCTGGCTAATCCCTCTCCTCCACACCTGGGCTCACTTCTCCCATCTCACCGTCTCAATGAGCCCCATGTGCTGTGTTCACTGGGTCCTCCAGGAGCCAGTGCTCAGGCGGGATTAGCCAGGTGAGAGATGTGTCAGGAGCAGCTCATTGGGAGGAAACGAGGTGGGAGCTGGGAGAGGCAGGGAGGCCCGGGGGTGTGGCCCTGAACTGGTGAGGGGGAGGAAGGCAGGCAGGCTGGGGGGCACGCACACATGCAGGCAGCTCTCTGTGAGCTGGGCAAGGCCGCGGGGGCCTCTGGGGTCAGAGCTACTTGGGAGGAGCCCTGTGTCTCCCAGGAAGGGGCCTTGTAGCCCTGCTGCTCTGTGAGCAGCCTGTGGGAAGCTGTCCTGAAGGCAGGGGGTTTTCAGAGCCCAGCTCTGGGATGCACATTTCTGTAGTGCCATGCAGCCTGCCCTGAGTAACCCTCCCTCCCCCTCACCCCCAGTACCCCAGAGACCCCTCACCCTGGCTCTACATGGGTGCCCCATAGCATTTATCATCTTTGACATGCTATCTATAAGTCACTTCTGTATTATGGTTATTGTTCGTTTTCTGTCCCCACACCCCCTGCAGCTAGAGGGCAAAGTCATTGAAAGCCGGGATGTTTATTCTGTACGTGTCCCAAAAACCCAGCGCGGTGCTTGTCACCTCGCAGGTGCTCAAGAAGTATCACATTGAATTTAATTCACAGAGTTGGGAACCAGAAAGAGGGACTGGTTTGGGTGGAGGTTTTGTGAGGCCAAAGAGAAGAGCTCTGTAACTATGTAGAGGGTTTTATAAATCAAACCACGGCCTCTTCCTCTGCTGAGCTTGTGTCTGTGAGGCTTCCCAGACCCAGGACGCTGCACACGGGTGGCCCTGACTCCCAGGAGTGCGGGTTGCCTCTGCCTTACACAGAAGGACCTGAGCTAGCAAGTCCTTCAGAGTAAGGACATCGGACATGGGGAGTTTCCATGTTCCTATGACTGGAAGGAGTCACTTCTCAATTGAATTAGGCCAACAGGTGTAGTGTTCGTACCATAAAACCTTTACCTTGAAAATTCATTTTCCCTCGAAAGCTGGCAAAAATTAGTACCTGTACTCGTGGACAAACAGCACACCTCTGGAAGTGGTACAGAGATGCTGCTGTTCTCAGGAAGGGGAGGAGGATCCCCCATCTCTCCACCTGTGCCAGCTGCACGGTGCGTGGGCCAGCGGATGCAGGTTTTCCTGCCCCCTCTGGAAATGCAGCGCTCCCTTCCTGCTGTCACTCCCATCAGTGGTGGTGCTGACCTGTGGCCAGGCCCCATGCGGCCATGAGTCGGTTCCGATGCTCCTCTGGGTCACTCTGTCAGTGTTGCACCTGGCACCATGCTCCCTGGCTGCCCGAGCAGTTGGAAGAGACACTTTGAGAGCTGCTTCCACACTTGGCACTCCCTACGGAAATTCTGGGCTGCTTCATACCACCCAGCAGGCTGGCTGCCCACCAGCCTCCCACCCTTCCTGCCCAGGGAGCCCTCCTTCCCGGGAACCTGTCCTTTGCCTTTGCTTCCGCAGGGGCTGCAGTGGGTGTGGGCATCCACACACTCCTCATCTAGGCTCCTAAGTTGAGTCTGAAGATAGGAACCATCCTGAGAATCAATGAGACCAGCCCCTGGAGGTCCACCCAATAAACCGGCCACCCCCAGCTTGTGAAAACCCAGGGCCAGAGTAACCAAACAGACCTTCTAAAGCTTTGGACAGGATTTGTTTATAAAAACCGGGGCCTCTTTCCAGCGTGTGCTAAGACCTTCCAGCAACTGGCCTCCACCCCTGTGCCTACCGTTCCTATGCCTCTGCCTGGGAGGCTCCGCACAGGCCCTGTACGCCCAGCCCCCAGCGCACAGTAGGCACCCAATAAACAGTTGTTGAGTGCATGTATTCCTTCCAGCTGAGATGGATGCTTCCTACCTCTCCAAATCCCACTGTGTCCTTAAAATCCAGGTCTGGCTTACCTCCTTTGTGAAGGTTTCTTGAAGTTCTTCCTGCAGGAGCTGCTCCCTGCTCTAAAACCTGGGAGCAGATATCGGAACCTTGTTCTACCATGCAGCACATACTTCTTCGCATTTGTTACTTTTAATGCAAATTTGACTCATAATTACCAGAGCATCAAGGTGAAACTTCTCTTGGCTCTTGCTGTCAGAGAAGTCCCCACAACGTGGTTAGAGTGATGGTTAATTTTATGCATCGACTCGATCGGACCGCAGTGCCCAGATATGTGCTCAAACATTGTCCTGGATGTTTCTATGAGAGTGTTTTTTTGAATGAGATTTACGTTTAAATTTGTGGACTTTGGATAAAGCGGACTGTCCTCCAGGATGTGGGTGGGCCACATCTAATCAGGTGAAGGTTGGATCAGGAAATAGACTGACCTCCCCAGTGCAAGAGGGATTCTGGCAGTGGATGGCCTTCAGACCTGAACTGCAGAATTGGCTCTCCACCCTGAGGGCTCGCTCTGCAGCTTGTAGACTTGCCAGTCTCCATAATTGTGTGAGCCAATTCCTTAACATAAATGTCTTTCCTTCTGTATATGCACACTTCCTATTGGTTCTCTGGGAGCCAGGTCAATGAATAGAAATGGTACGATGTGAAAACTAAGGGAAGTACAAAGTGCCTTTGGGGCTGAGGACCCTCTAACTCATCTGGATCAGGGGTGGCTTCACAGAGGAGAGACTCCCCCAGTCAAGCCCAGGAGAATACCTTGCCATCCTGCCTAGGTTTGAGCTGCTTCCAGGAGGAGTGTTTCTTTGCCCCCGAGGACCATGCATGAAGCTCTGTGATGCTGGGCACACATGGTCATATTTATTAATGATTGATCACTTCTGTAACCAAGTAATTTTGTCCATGGAAGGCAGCCAGCCTGCTTTGTGGTCATCAGTTGCATCTACCAAGTGAGGTTTCTCCTTACTGTGCAAAAGGGGTCGGAAATGGCTTTGCCAGCCCTTGTGGGATTCCGCACTCAGCACCCTCAGTGGGAGGTCAAGGACCTCCAAGAAAACTATCATCCAAGAGATATCCTTCTTCTCTCCTTCCCACTCAAAGTCCTGAGTCACAGTCCCTCCTCGGGGCTGTTCTGCCTTTCTCTGACCTGAACAAATGGGCTCAAGTGCCATCATGAAGTCAATATCCACTCATTCTCATGACTTAGATCCCTGGAGCTGACCTGGTTCCAGCTTTTTCCAAGATTCGAATCTTCAGCCTTTCCTTCAGTTCCATTAGCACATCGATCCTTCCAAACAGTCCCTTAAGTCAGTTAGAGCTTGCAACCAAAAAATCTTATCAACATTTCCTTAAACAGGAACAAAGGCGTGGTGAGAATGGGAAGATACTGG